CCAAACCCAAACCCCAAACCCACGGCCAAATGCATAGGATCCCTAATTTTAGGCAAATTACCTTGAATTTGATCTCTTATTCTTCCTCGGACTTTACTGTTTTTTACATTTATTTTTAAAAGATTTTTTGCAAGAGAGATATATTTTAAAAAAATAAAATAAAAAAAAACATTATTGAATATTTATTTATGTTGATATTTTTCACTAATAACTATAAAAAATAGAATTTTTGGTTAAATCTTATGTCTATATAAAATTGATTTTGCTTAGTTATGATATAAAACCTAAGCATGTAAATAAAAATATATGATAAGGATTTATTGTTGTTGAAAGATTCATTGGTATTTGATTTTAAAAGGAAAAATTTTTAATGTAATAGTGAAATCATCTTCTTTCAAAAATATCATTCTAAGAAGGAGACTTAAGAAAGTAAAATTTTATTCCAATCGTAGGTTAATTCTTATAAAAATATAATTCTACTATAAATAAATTGTATTATTTTTGCTCTTTAAAATGTGATAAAGATTATATTATAAATGAAGACTAATCTAATTTAACAGGGAATGAAAATTAATAAGTTAATACTTTCTTAATTAATATTTTGAGCTCTAATATTAAAGCTGACACATTATGCACATTTTAAAAGTATTTTTGATACTGGCTGTAGAAAGAAGAAAGGAAGCAAAATTATATATTACTAATAATAGGAAATCTAAAATCAGAGTAGGAAATCTTTTTTAGTTATTAGTAAAGTTATGAAATTATCATAAAATAATTTAATTATCCAAATTAAGAAGAGTTTGGCTTGAAAAATATTTCTGATCGTTCAAGCAAAATTTGTAGAAATAGATAGAATAAGAATTAATTGATTTGGAAATATAATCAATCAAAAATATCATATAATATGTTTTAATAATTAACACTATTTATTTTCTTTTTTAAAAGAGAAATATTTATAAATATATCTAATATAGTTTTTGTTTTAGCTTTATTCTGCTTTTGTAAAAGGCTTTGCAATTTAATTATTGTATTTTTCTTATTTTATTTAATTGAAATAAACTATTCTTGGATCTGAGTGGATACTCATTTCATTACGTTATAATTTATAAACTGAGAAATAGCCAAGTAATGAGTGAATTCTTTAATTTCTTCTCTCTATTTCTTCTAAGATTTTATTCCTTGTTGAATTTATAATTAGAAAATCTTTATCCAATTCATCTATTACAGGTATTAGAAAATATTAGAGGCTTTTTATTTGAAACTATTGCAGATTAAACCTTCATCGAGATTTATAATTATACATAATTTTATAATTAATTATGATTTCAAAAAACAATTGGTGGGATTCACTTTTATAATCTGAATAAATATGAATTTTACAAAAATATTTGCTTAAAAGATATTGTAATCTGGAAGTTAATTAAATTTTTCCACATTAAGCTCTAGAAGAACTCCATTAATTAACTAAAAATATTTAAGACGCTTCTCTCAAATTTTCCTTAAATTTCACACACTAGATGGTTAATATGCTAAGCCTGAATCAAATTTCTAGAAAAAAATTATAAATAAACTGACCCAATCAATTCCAACAAATCCCAACTTTAATTCCAAAGTTAATATTTAGCTTTTGTCTATGTTTAATCGTTTTGGATTAATTGATAAAAGATATTTTATTTATAACATTAATAAATCATTAGCTATAAATGGAATTTTCCATTCCCAATCATAAAAATGATTTCTTCTAATTTTCTTGACTAATTTTGATATGATTTTTGTTTAAGTATATATTATGTAAAAAAAATAACTTTCATTCTGGTTGAGTATTAATAAAAGTTAAATATAAGTTATAAATAAATATGCCTATCACAAAGAAAACATCAAAAAATGATGATTTTATTTATTTAAAATAGTTACAAACATATTTTCTAGAAATATCACTATTTATATTTCAAATTCTATCAAAATATTATAAAAATTGCTTATCTTGATATCCTGATTATATTATGAAAGTATTTGAAATTTTTAGAACAAAAATATATTTTAAAATGTTTCATGTTATCATCATAGAAGTTATCATAATATTCTATTGACTTAGAATAAAATATTTTTATAAAACAAGCCAAGGATCTCATAGTTTGATAGTGCTTGTATATAAACGAAATTGAATAATAATTTTTATAAAATTAAATTTAAAATATCTAAGGTTAGAATATTGATAATTTTGACATTGCTTAAATTGATTTAAATTGCCATAAATAATATTATTCAAAAAATCTAAAACTATATCTAAAGTAAATAAAATCATCATCTAGTATCACTCGTGAAGAAACTACATTTTTACAATTCCATATTTACATATTTCCTATTCATAAACACAAGCGAATATCTTTCTAAAGAGTTTAAAATCAAAATTATAACTTTAAGTGTACACTAAATTAAAGAAGAATCTGATTGATTGTTAACCATAGCTATTATACTATATATTTTTTCAAGTAATAAATCACTTGAAGGAATAAAGATGGACAACTGCGAATATATAATAAGAAGAAATATTATCACTTAATTAACACTTTTCAAGAATTTAGATCAGCATCTTGTAAGGTGAAAATTACACAGATAAAAATAATATTTTATCAATAAATATTGTTGACTTTTTCTAGGTTAACGGCTGAAACAAAAGAAAAGTTAAAAAAGTCTAAGTTGGTATTCCTAGAAATTTAGCTTGATCTAGAGTATCTAATTCTATTAACTAAAAAAATACTTCCAAGATAACTATGAAGAATATAAAGTTAAATTAAATCAATAGGGCGAATTATCTATAGATTAATAAAATAATTATGAATGGAAAATTAAATAGGCAATAACAGCTTTGCAGGAACATATAATTGATTTTGTTAAAAATTCTAATATAAATACAGGTTTAAGAAAAAATTAAAGAGTTAGAAATGCATAAAAAAATTAAAACTGAATAAGCTTGTATGTGTTAATTTTGTAGAAAGATTGGTACACTCAACATGATAAAATTGCAGTAGAAATGTGTTAATTATGCTGAAGAGAATTGATTTGTAAGTTTCCATATCTCATGAGGCTAATGGCAAAAAAAGAGAATTATTATTGGTAGAAATTGATGAAACTTTGTAGAAATAACTAAGATTGATACCTAATGTTGTAAATCACATCAGAAAAAGTTTGTTAAGATTTGAGGAAAAAATAATTAAAATGAAGGAGTAACTCAATAGTATGGGGAATAATGTTAAATTTTTTGATAGGAAAATCTGAAATATATCTACTTAAAATCAGAAAATGGAAAGTTTTGAAGGAAGCAGCAGAATAAAATGTTAAGTCCATCTACGTGCAATTAAAAACTCATGAGAAAGATAAAAATGAAGTCAGTAGTTTAATGAATTTAGATTAATTTCATGATAAGACAGAGAAGAGAATGAATTATTATTAGCTAACAAGCAAAAAGTATTATTAATTAACGGGCTAGGCAAAAGTACTATAGCCAAGAAAATTTAAGAGTTTATTTGGAAATTCAATGATATTAAAAAAAAATTGGTAATTATGTACTAATTCCTGTTTATATTTCAGATCTACTTTAAAAAAAACAGGTTTTAAGCAGTAGACGAATCAACCATTAAGATGATTATGGGTTTGAAGATTTCTAATTAAATCTAGCTTCTCAATTTTGACTAAATTTGAAAATAAGAATATTTTAAGAAATTCAGTATTTTAAGTATTTTAATGTTAATTTTTGATATATCAGAATTTATAAGTTTATCCTTAAAGCCAAAACCTATGGATATCAAAAGGTTTGAACTGAGTTGGTAATAATTGAAGTCATCAATTGCTAAATTTCATAAGTCAAATTTGAGATTTGGGACTCGTTAGATTAAAAATAAATAGGCATTTAATATTTTTGAAGGAAGATGATTCCATTACATTAAAAAGCAATTGAGCTACAAAACGGTCGAAAATAAATTTACATAAATATGAAGCTTTGAAAAGCACGACAGTATGATGAGGTAGGTTAATGTAAATAATTTGGTGAGAATTCCTTATTTGAAGGAAATAAAAGTTAAAGAGTTGCCCAAAATGATAGTTAAAGCAACTGAGATTATTAGTTTTAGATAAAACTTCTTGAAGAATTTTACAAAAATGATAAAGAGTTCTTTATCAGTAAATACATGATTCAGATGTATAAATCGCAATAGAAAAACATCTAATGGGGTTAATAAATGAAATTAAAAAAGAAGAAAGTTAAAATTAAAAAAATTAAAAAATGGTGAAAAAAACTTAAATAAATTTTAAGAACTACACTCCAGAAGAGGTATAAGACTTGGAAATAATTGATTACTATTAAATTGCTTTTGAAGGTTGGAATAATTTGATTCTTTTATAATTGTAAATCACTTAAGAATTAGATGGACTATACAAATAACTTTAAACAATATTTGAAACTAATAGTATTCTACCAAATTAAAAAAAAATTTAATTTAAAAGGAAACAATAATCTATGTTGTTTTTGATGCATTAAAAATATACAATCTAACAGATTATGACCTTTATTGCGAGTTTATATATTATTACATTTGAAATAACTCGAAAACAGGAAACTTAGAAATATCTATGGATATTGACCGTTTTCTGCATGATTAAATAGAGTTCTCAATCAGATTGGCAAGAAAAATGTGTAAAAATGTAATGACGTAAGTTTAAGATAAGTAGGTAGGATTTTTTTTAAAAATGAAAGAAAACAATAACAATAACTAAATGAATTTTTTAATGATGAAGATTAATATGGTGTTTATAAAAAAATATTAGAAGTTTTTCCCTTGTCTTATAACAAGTATAAAAGTTCTTTATTGCCACTGATTTATATTAAGTCTTAAAGTGTTAGTTGAATTGAAAGATTTTAATATACAGATTTTGAATACTATGATAGAAATGTTATTAAAAGAAAATAATTAAGATTAAGACTGTTTAAAGTTTCTATTAAATGTATTTTTTAAATATTTAGAGAATTATAATTAAATTGAGAATTTATCACCTTTTGAAAAAAAAGAAGATACTTTTTAAGTGATTATTAATTCAATTACTCATTTGATCAAGACCATTAAAGAACAAGATATTAATTCTGTTAATTATTACACTAAAATCTATACGGAAACAAGATATTAATTCATTAAAAAAATATCATAATAAGAGGTTAGGATTTAATTTTTGAAATTCTTAGTTCATCTCAATAAGATAGATAATCATTTTATAATAAGTGGATCTAATGCATTAAACATATTGGTTGATCTAAAAAATTAAATTTTGAAAATTTCAGAATTACAAATACTTCTGTATTTGTATTAATTTTGCAAAACTTAAGTTCGTTTGTTTGTAATTGGAAAAAATTAAAAATAAACTATTTATATAAATTAAATGGTCATACTAGTAATGTATAATCAGTCTATTACTCTATCCGTTTATGGGATTTAATAAAAAGCCCAAATAGGATGGTCATACTAACTATGTCTAGTCAGTTTGTTTCTCTCCTGATGGAATACATTAGCTTCTAGTAGTGATGATAACTCTATCCTTCTTTGGGATGTTACAACAGAATAATAAAAAGCAAAATTGGATGGTCATAGTAGTGCTATCATGTCAGTCTGTTTCTTTCCTGATGGAAACACATTAGTATCATGTAGTAGAGATAACTCTATCCGTCTCTGGGATTTTAAAACAGGATAATAAAAAGCCAAATTAGATAGTCATACTAACCGTGTCAACTCAGTCTGTTTCTCTCTTGATGGAAATACATTAGCATCTGGTAGTAATGATAAGTCTATCCGTCTATGGAATGTTAAAGCAGGATAGGAAATTTAATCCTCAGATAATAGATATAACGATATATTGGAAAATTGCAAGATTTCATTGTTATAAAACAACCCAATTACAGGTATTTATTATTAATATTATTTAGTTATTACTAACATTCCTATTCTCTGTATATCCCAAACACCAATCTTTAAAGCTAAAGGAGCTCTTGTACTTAAGGGAGAGTTTATTATTTAGTAAAGCTTTGACTTAAGATTGGTATTAAAATCAAGAGGATGTTGCATTTTGGAAAGCAGTATGAAAAAATGTCATATTATGATATTTTAGAACATTAAAAATATAATTAAGGTTATTTCTTATTATTTTTTTAGAGTAATGATGTGTTTTTGATTTCACCTCTACATTTTATTGAAATTTGAGAAATAATTATAAAACTTATTTATTAAAGTTTATTGAAAAAATTAAAAATTACTGAATAATTGATGAATTATTTTGTAATCATCAACAGAAATATACATAAAAGTGAACTCAATAGTAAAATTCATTGATTTTCTGCTTTTTATGCATTTAATTTATTCTATAGATTTCTTAACCAATTAATCTAATATTGAACGGGGTTAATTTACTTTTTGAGATGAAAAATTACATTATTTTAACATTATCCATAATGGATATATATAAGAATACCAATCATGGTTTCCATATATTCTTCTACAATATGTTCTAAAGATTTGCTTTTAAATAATTGATATAAATTTTGAGTAATTTCTAAATTTATCTGGTTTATGAGTTCATCAAAAGAATACAGTTCAGTTAATAATTAATGAGGAATTTTTTTTTTCCTCTAAATTAATTACTGGAAAAAATTATTTTGAAGGCAAGGTTATTATTTAGTTCTAACTTTTTAAAATGAAATGTTTATCATATATAGGTATTGAAAATTTTTGTAGAAAGCTCCTCCTTTGAATGTATGTAAGAATCCATATAGAACTTAAATTAATAAGTAATTAAGATTTTTAGATGGTGTTTAGGGAAGATATAATTAAGTCCTTAAATCTTAATCATTTCAAAATTATAATATTTTTTTGATGATGAATTTACCTTTTCAGTCTTTTTTAATATCTAATACTTTTAATATCAATCGATAGATAATTATAAAGGTTATTAAAATATTACTAAGAATAGAGTAATTTAAAAAATTCAATTTGTTGCTTAAACTTTGTTGTAGTAAAGATTATTTCTAATATTAACTTCATTTTATTAAATTCTTCATTTATCATTTTTCTTATCTTTGTTAATAGAAGTGTAGAAATGACTGAAATGGAAAAAACTTTATAAAATAAGAACTTACCTAGCTTTAGAAGTGAAGATTAAGAGTGAAACTATTAATGACAGAATTAAAAAAAATATTAAATATTGATTGTAATTATAATTGTTGTTTGATAATGATCAAAATCACTTTTTCTATAAGTCTTCTAAAAAGCAACTTCCTTTAGATTTAAATAAGGGTTTCAAATCTTTTCCTTTATGGTTTATAAATTCTCCTTTTAATATAAGTGTACCTCTTGCCTCTAATTAAGGATTCTAACAAATTCTAAGTATTGTACGATCAGGATTAACTTAATAATAATAAATTAAAAATACCATTTGGTAATAATAAGCTATTTATAAGTGGTATTTTAAACTAGGCAAGAATATCTTAATATTTATTGTCAGAGAAATTCAGTTCCAATCCTGTCTTTACATCCCATAGACGAATAGACTAATCACTACTACCGGAAGCTAATGTATATCCATCAGGAGATAAACAGACTGAGTAGACATTATCACTATGACCATCTAATTTGGATTTTTATTACCCTGTTTTTACATCCCATAGGCGGATAGAGTTATCAAAACTACCAGAAGCTAATGTATTTCCATCAGGAGAAAAACAGACTGACGTAACTAAATTAGTATGACCATCTAATTTGGATTTTTATTACCCTGTTTTGACATCCCATAGACGGATAGACTTATCATAACTACCAGAAGCTAATGTATTTCCATCAGGAGAGAAACAGACTGAGTTAATACAATCATCATGACCATCTAATTTGGCTTTTTATTATCCTGTTCTGACATCCCATAGACGGATAGACTTATCAATACTACCAGAAGCTAATGCATTTCCATCAGGAGAAAAACAGACTGAATAGACAGTAATAGTATGACCATCTAATTTGGCTTTTTATTATCCTGTTTTGACATCCCATAGACGGATAGACTTATCATCACTACCAGAAGCTAATGTATTTCCATCAGGAGAGAAACAGACTGATCTGACATAACTACTATGACCATCTAATTTGGCTTTTTATTATCCTGTTTTGACATCCCATAGACGGATAGACTTATCATCACTACCAGAAGCTAATGTATTTCCATCAGGAGAGAAACAGACTGATCTGACATAACTACTATGACCATCTAATTTGGCTTTTTATTATCCTGTTTTGACATCCCATAGACGGATAGACTTATCATCACTACCAGAAGCTAATGTATTTCCATCAGGAGAGAAACAGACTGATCTGACATAACTACTATGACCATCTAATTTGGCTTTTTATTATCCTGTTTTGACATCCCATAGACGGATAGACTTATCATCACTACCAGAAGCTAATGTATTTCCATCAGGAGAGAAACAGACTGATCTGACATAACTACTATGACCATCTAATTTGGCTTTTTATTATCCTGTTTTGACATCCCATAGACGGATAGACTTATCATCACTACCAGAAGCTAATGTATTTCCATCAGGAGAGAAACAGACTGATCTAACATAACTACTATGACCATCTAATTTGGCTTTTTATTATCCTGTTTTGACATCCCATAGACGGATAGACTTATCATCACTACCAGAAGCTAATGTATTTCCATCAGGAGAGAAACAGACTGACATAACATAATTACTATGACCATCTAATTTGGCTTTTTATTATCCTGTTTTGACATCCCATAGACGGATAGAGTTATCATAACTACCAGAAGCTAATGTATTTCCATCAGAAGAGAAACAGACTGATTTACTATAACTAGTAAGACCATCTAATATGGCTTTTTATTACCCTGTTTTGACATCCCATAGACGGATAGACTTATCATAACTACCAGAAGCTAATGTATTTCCATCAGGAAAGAAACAGACTGAATTGATACAACTAGTATGACCATCTAGTTTGGCTTTTTATTATCCTGTTTTGACATCCCATAGACGGATAGACTTATCATAACTACCAGAAGCTAAAGTATTTCCATCAGAAGAGAAACAGACTGATTTACTATAACTAGTAAGACCATCTAATATGGCTTTTTATTACCCTGTTTTGACATCCCATAGACGGATAGACTTATCATAACTACCAGAAGCTAATGTATTTCCATCAGGAGAGAAACAGACTGAATTGATACAACTAGTATGACCATTTAATTTGGCTTTTTATTATACTTTTTTAACATCCCATATGCGGATAGAGTTATCATTACTACCAGAAGCTAATGTATTTCCATCAGAAGAGAAACAGACTGATTTACTATAACTAGTAAGACCATCTAATATGGCTTTTTATTACCCTGTTTTGACATCCCATAGACGGATAG